CTCCTCTCAGTTCATTAGTTTCACCTGTGCCCAATTCCCCTAATCATCCAACCCCTGTGTGTATATAACCCTGTCTTGTCTCTCAGTGTGTGTCGCTCCTTGTCTTTTCAGCATTGTTTTGTCATTCTTGTGAAACACTAGGTTTTTGCTCATAAGTGAGCTTTTGGTTTTTGTCTGTCTGAGTTTTAGTTTTCAGGCTTAGCATCCTGTAGTGATGGGATTTATGGCTCTTTCATGGGAGCCGTTCATTAGCCGGTCGTTTACCTCAAAGAACCGTTCAAAAGACTGGCTCCTTTGAACGAAGTGAAGCCAACAGAGCGGCGGGGCAAGCGCAACGTCTTCCTGCGGTGTCCGTGAGGGTGCACGGGGTTGGTTAGCATTCCTCCCAAGATATGTATACAAACACGTGTTTCTATGGTACCTCCTACGTCCGTCACAGCGGTGGGTGGGGTTTGAACGGGTGAGTTTGACCGACTTCCGGGGAGGTTTGTTAAGATGAACGGCTCTCTACAGGGACTCGGCTCTCATCATTCACTTTGAAAACCCGTTCAAAAGATTCGATTCGTTCGTGACCGTCACATCACTAGCATCCTGCACCTTTTGAGTTTTGTGCTACATCCTAAATAAAATTAATTTTTAGTTTTTACAACCGCTCCTGCCTCGCGTTGTTGTGGGGTTTTGCATTTTGAGTCCACGTTGCTCCTCCTGGATCTGAGGCCCTGTCCACATGTAGCCGGGGATCTGCCAAAACGTAGATCTTTTTCTACGTTTTGGCCTGTCATCCACACAAAAACGGAGTTTTTCACATGAAAACGGATTTTTAAAAACTCCGGCCAAAGTGAAGATCTGCGTTTTCTCAGTTTTGGGTGTCTGCGTGTGGACAGACAAAATCTGAGTTTTAGGGTCTGCAACGTCACTTTCCGCGACAAAAAATGCTGACATCACGTGTGTGACCTGTGCTTACACTAGCCGACAGCATGGATGCCCTCAGAGCTGCGCTCGCTTTATCAATTGTCCAAGCGCTTTTTGCTTGTTTGTTTTTGCAAGCGGAATTACTGCTCCTTGCGGAAGACCACAGACGAAGGACGAGGTTAAGAACGGGGGAAGTACTGCCGCCTACAGGTCTGGCATGTCCTTAACAACGTATTTATCCGGGTACGTGTGGACAGTTTTTTTTAAACGAGGTGGTGTGGATGCAAGTTTTTGGAGGGGCGAATATTTGTTTAAAAAAAAACCGGCTACGTGTGGACTAGGCCTAAGGTTCAACTATCTGACGGACCCTCCTTTCCAGAATCCCTGAATAGGCCAGGGAGGCTCAGGAGTGTCGGAACACACCCCACACATTAAAAGGCCCTGCACTGCACACGTACACCCCAAGTTGCCTATGTTGAATAACAAGATAAATGCGGATTTAAATGTTAAGGCTGCTTTAAAGAAAATACTTGAATATTTGAAAAAATTATTAATAATCTACAGTTGGATTCCTCAACGCTGCAGTTGAGCCAGGCTTAGCTCTGCCTGTAAATATAAAAGCAGCATCGTGAGCAGCATCCACTCACTGATGTGAGAGAACCTTTGAACTGCAGGCCAACTAGATTTGTTGCAGCTGAAATGAACACACACACACACACACACACACACACACACACACACACACACACACACACACACACACACACACACACACACACACACACAAGATTGTGCAGCCTGGATGTGTTTCAAAACCTGTGAGAAATAGCATCATACCTGCTGACCCTGGCCCGAGGGCTCCAGAGTGGACGAGGTTAGGACTCATCCAGAATATATAGCTGACCTCCTGACCTCCTGTGAGCTTAAATGCAATCTGAGCTCCTCGGGCAGCTCCTTCTGGTACAGCGCATAACTCCTGGCTGTTCCTCACCCAAACTTCAAAGTTCAAACTTGATGATGCACCGTAGATAAGACAATGTCTAATTTTAAGCTAATTTTAATGATTTACAACGTCAAACGTGTCTTGCTGTTCAATCATTTACTTGTTTTAATCTTAATAATATTTTCTCATTACTGTTTTATTGTTTAGGGTGATTTTCAACTTTATTAATATACATTTTCATGCATAAGGGTGTCTTTATTAATGTATTTATTTTTGACTATTAATTAATTAGTTTAAATCTGCCTTTTGTTACATCAGTGTTTAGATTTAAGGCATTCCTACGCTTCACTGGTCCCCCCCTGACTAACTGGAGTTGATTCTGATCAGTTTTCACCCAGAAAACATCTGCAGTGTTTCCCCAGAAGCAAACAAAAGCCAGTCAAAGACTAAAAGTCATATTTCTCAAAGTAGAGATGACAAATAGAGCAGTTAAAAGCCTCGCAGTCCTTAAAGCTAATCCTCCATCGCTTTGATTGCACAAATTTTAAAATAATATCACCTTTTTGGGGGGTGAAATTACAATGTTTTGGGGATTTTGGTCAAAGTTTGAAGATGACACGCACAATCCAACATTTTAGGATCTTGTGCAACCTGGAATAATTTGTGCATACGTTGGGAATGATTCTAGTGAAATTTGACACAAAAACTTGGCTCAATATCTAACTTTTTCTCAGTTAAAGCCGTTTATGTTCTTTCTAATCTTGAATTGGCTCCAAAAGTTATTCAGTTCTAGATTTATATCAAAAGGCAACCACTCTTCTATTTACAAGAGCGACCTCCCAACCTCTGTAAGTGAAGAAAAGCTCTAATTCCCATTCCTCCCCTTTAGAAAAAACAAAGCTGGTTTATTTTTATGATTAATGATTATTTATGTTGCTAAATCTGCAGGTAGTAGACCTAGGGTGTGGGTGAACTGGAGCTCGCTGCTGTGATGTTTATAGGTTGGTTCTTAGCCACATTTCCTTTAACGTGTCCAAGAGGATGCAGCCACTCATTACTCCTGCAGCACACCTTTGCTAATTATCATCTTTTATATTGTTTGTTATGTATTTGCCTGCAAAAGTTGCCACATAAGGACGGTTTTAATCAACCTCTCCAAATCTCACATGCACATTTGTTTTCAGAAAACCAGTTATGCAGAAATGTTGCCTTTATTTTGTTTACTGAAGAGTCTTTTGCAAAACACGTAAAGAAAGTGCTGCATGTGAAACAGTCCTAACTGGAGTGGGAAACAGATTTTGTGTGTTTCTGAGAATTGACCTTTGTGTGTGCAGCTTTAAGTGACAATAAGTCATCAGTCACACCTGAACTGGATGCAACGCTTCATGTGACATGCCGTTTGCCTGGCCCTGTGAGGACTTTCACGGGTGATTCTGACAGCAGCTATCAGAAACAGAAAGTCCACCGAGATACGAGTCAAATCCTCCTGACAGATCCAAACCTCCTGCTGATGTTTGCAGATAGAAGCAGGTCTTATCCGGTAAGAGTTCAAAACACACCCCTGTGCTGTTTGATGAATTTTGTACTTAAGTGTGCCACAACCCTTTTTTTAACCGCTCAGATATTTTGTCTTTCTTTGAAAGCAAATGGAAAAGTTCTCAGATTCATCAGCAGGAGGCGTTGGGATGTGTCATCGGCCGGTTTGCCAGCACTCGCAGGAAGTGTCCTGCACATTGTTTTTCAATCACAGGAAAGTGAGCCAGCACAGACCAAATGTTGTCCATGTAAACATCTTTTGTTGTTGGATACTGTTGCACGAGAAAGAACAATCAGCCTGCATGTTCAGGGTGGGAATTACAAACGTTTAATTATCTTTGACTTATTAAATATAAAACTGCAAATCTGTTATATCTATTTCAGCATGTTTGACTGAAAAGCAGCAGCAACGATGATGTTCATAGAAAGCATGACTGTCATTTGCAGGAAGAAGAGCTGCTGTTTTCTGAACTCACTCTGCCACCTGCTGGTGATTCTCTGTCACTGCAGACAAAGTGATGCTACTTAGTGATTTTGTTCCACTTTGGTGCTTTCATGAATCTTTTAAGCCGCACATCAGTGTAACTGTGACTTAAATACAGACAAAATTAAGGCATTTTGAAGTGTTTTCAATTATTTAAACCTAATTGATGCAAGATTAATAGATTAATAGATGAAATGGTTAGCTTCCTCAAAGCAGGTTAAAGCAGGTAAAAAACACTGCATGAATATTTGAGCAGCTCCATCATACGAACCTTGACAATGCCAATAAGTGAAATGCCTAAATGATATTTACACAATATACATAGTTCATTATTTTTAAAAGAAAAAATAACATCTATATATTAGGAAATGACTGATTGGGCTTTGAAGTTTGCAGTTCCTAAATTATGGAAAATAATTAAATTTAATGGCTCCTATGAAAACACAACATGCTTGAATGCTTTGTGTGATGCTGATGGTTAAATGTGCTCTTTTAACCCAGAACGCTCCCATTATAAAGACAGAGATGAAAAGGTTTTTATAGCTAAAATAAAAAAGATGATACAATAAAAAAGACACCTATTGGTTATGCACTTCCAAACTGACAGATTTCAAATTGATTTTATTGCTCAAATTTAAATATTTAAAATGATTTAAGGTCAAATTTGAGACCTGATTTTATTCGGGAAACAAAAAAGGCTATTTCTACCTTCATTTATTATTAGAATAAGTATTAGTGTTGTTTTATTTTAAATTTAGTTTATTATTAAGTTTTACAGTAAAAGTAGCCTAATGGTAATAGGTGTAGAAGTGTTTGTTTATTCATTTATTTGTTTTTGCTTTTGTTTGGACCAAAAATATCTCAAAGAATATTCTATTTTATATTGTATTTTATTCCTGCTGTGATCATTCTTGTTGCTGCTATTAGTCCTAATACTAGTAGTAGGCTTTATAAATTAATTATTTTTGTTGATTAATAATTATCTCAAATTATATTTTATTACATATTAGATTATATTGCAGTATGTTATTATTATTGTTATTATTATTGTTATTATTATTATTATTCCAAAGCAGACATTGGCTCCGCGCTGCTTGGACGCTGAGCAGCGCTGTTGCGCCGTGCCTGTGCCGATCCAAAGCGCTACCATCAGGGAGATGCTCTCTGATAGCATTCCGTAGACATCCTCTCACTAAAGTCTCCCTCCTGCAGCGTTCAGCCCGGACATGGGAGCTCACTGGAGGCGCAGCAGGAGGCGCACGGAGCGGCATGCACGCAGGAGCTGTTTTTCTGCAGGGAGATTCTGCGTCTGAAGGCGTGATATGAGGAGCAACCCCTCCGTATCCAGTTGATGCTCGCCTTTACGCAGGGTGGAGAGGTGCAGTAATCCTCTCCTCTCGGGAGGAGCAGGGAAATCCCTCTCCAGGCAGAACCAGAGAGGAGGAGGGGGGAGAGTTCAACTCGGACTGGGACTGAGAGTTGGAGAGCGTGCGTGGTGATATTTGGTGCTTTTGTTCTGCTGCTGCAGGCTGATGGAGTCACTCTGAAGGTTATTCAGACTGCTGGGACTCCACTTCTCATCATGAGCGGACCGACTAATGGTAATGACATCCTCCTGAGTTTTAGGGTGAAACCGACTCGGTGCGTTTCTGTTAGTGAATTTATTCTACCGGCTTTAGGGAATCCTTTTAGTGTGATGGAAATGTTTTGTTTTAGCAATTAGAGTTTAAAGTCTTAAATGTCTAAGGATTTGGAGAAATGGGTAAAATGTCTAATCACAAAACCACAAATGTAATAAAACCATCTAATACTCAGAGTCACTATGAAGTTGACCTTACTGAGCATAAAGTATCTTCCTGCCTCAGAGAGACCTTTAACCCAATAAAGACACAGGTGAGGTGAGGATGCGCTGATTCTCCAACACTGTAAAAGGACCAAAGGGACTCCAGCAGAGTGGATGAAACCCTTCGGACCACCCAGAGAAAGTCCAAAAATGACATTTCAGCTGACAGCTTGGGGAAAAAAAACCATTAGTTTTTATCCAAGCTGTTATAACCAGAGGTCAGAGGTCATGGTGTGTCTGTCAAAAGCAGCAGAATAAACAGCCTTTCTGACATTGAAGTCATTTAAAGGAGAGCTGCAGAAGAATCTGGACAAGATTACGGTTTATTTTAGGAAAATGCCTTCTGTTGCTAATCCGGATGTTTTTAAGTGTAAAATAAAAGTTGTGACAGTTGATGCATAAATGCACTAATAGTTTCACACATATTCCTGTCTGCTGCTGTTTTTATCTCAGGCAAACAAATTTTTCAGCAATTTCATTTGATTTTTTGTATTCGTCAGTGATGTAAGCTCAGGAAGAAAAGCAGCGTCCGAACACCAAATCAGTTCTACTGTACACACGTTCTCACGTTTGTCCTTTTCCAGAAACCAGTGCAGCGTTTAGAATGACTAATAATAACAAAGATGCACAAAAATAACACATTTCCTCTTGCAGCCATTCACAGGTGGCTCAGATATTTCTCTGTGTGCTGTTCCAACCCTTGTGCTGCCATCTGGCTACAGAACCAATGCCAGCCTCTGTGATACACACACACATGCACGCAAGCACGCTGAGGATGCAACATTATTTGTCCTACTTTTACCTCTTTCTTTTTCCTCCTGTACGCATGCACATACCCACAGCTCATCAGCTTACCCTGCCAGCTTGTTGCGTTTACTGCCATTGCAAAAGACTCTGGGATGCAGCTGAAATGTAATTGAATTGAGCAGAATATAGTGGATTTTCTCCTCAGACTTGAGCATGCTGCATTTTTGTGCACAGCTGACTCTGAATTGAATCAGCACCAGAGTTGTCGTTCTGCTGTTTTTATTTTTGTTCGGTTGTCTTACCTGCAGCAGACACTGAGCAGAATGTGCACATATGCTTCAGACAGCTGAAACAAAACAAGTTTTTATGTAACAACTTGTAAAAATGCTTCATGTTCAGCTGGGTGGTATAAATCAGCTTTTTGTTTTATGGATTACATGAAATTATTTCTTATAACTGTACCTTTCCTGTAACAAGTGCAGATAAATGAAATCAAACATTAGTAATTTGCTCCATTTCGGCTCCATAGGGTAACTTTGTTCTAAGCTTGAAGGAGGATTTCCTGCTCCACTGGCAGATGAGATTGACAGTCTCCAGCCCAATCACAACTGAAAACCCGCCCAATCCAAATATAACCAGCCCAATCCATGAAGTTGCCAGACACCGGTGTAAGCCCGTAAAATAATCACGAAGGCAATGGAAAACACTCATATGAGCTTTATATCACCAACTTGCAACATATTTGGTAGGTTATGATAAAGTTGCAACCAACAAACAGCACAATACATCTACTGAATTGGCTGGACATACAGGGAGTGCAGAATTATTAGGCAAGTTGTATTTTTGAGGAATAATTTTATTATTGAACAACCATGTTCTCAATGAACCCAAACAACTCATTAATATCAAAGCTGAATGTTTTTGGAAGTAGTTTTTAGTTTGTTTTTAGTTTTAGCTATTTTAGGGAGATATCTGTGTGTGCAGGTGACTATTATTACTATTATTACTGTGCATAATTATTAGGCTACTTAACAAAAAACAAATATATACCCATTTCAATTATTTATTTTTACCAGTGAAACCATTATAACATCTCCACATTCACAAATATACATCTCTGACATTCAAAAACAATACAAAAACAAATCAGCGACCAATATAGCCACCTTTCTTTGCAAGGACACTCAAAGGAAACCCACGCATGCATGGGGAGAACACGCAACTCCACGCAGAAAGGCCGCGGTCGAGTTTCGAACCTGCGACCTTCGTGCTGCAAGGCAACAGTGCTAACCACTGCACCACCATGCAGCCCATTCTATAGTATCCTTCAGAGTTTTCTTCATATAACAGTTATCCAAACCAGTCAATATTCACATACATACATATTCAAATACAAACAATTCACTGTTCGCATCAGAGGCCCTCTGAAACATAGTAGACATGTTATTTAAATATTGAGTGTTTGAGCTTGGTGGTTTATAACAACAGCATGCCGGGATGGGTTTATGATACGGAATGTGAACCTGAATCCACAATGCTTCAATGCCAGACATGCCAAGATCGTTTTTTATTTTAACCGGAATATGACCCTGCATATAAAAAGCAGTACCTCCGCCATATTTGTTTCTGTCAAACCTGTATATATTGTACCCTTCTATGGCTACAGCTGAGTCCTCTACAGTGTAATCCAAATGGGTTTATGTATCAGCCATTACATGAATAGCTGTTCCAGTCAAGATGGAACTTAATTCACTAACCTTATGTTTTAAACTGCAAATGTTCAAATGGGCAAATTTTAATCCTTTCATTCTCTAAAAACCTCATGTCCAATTTTAATTTCCATACAATAAGCAAATACAGCACATACATGTCACTAAGGCATAACATCAAGGTACTCAGCTTAGTTTTTCTAGCTCCTCCATACTCTGAATACACAGAACTCTGGCTTCTTCGGGCCTACCATTAATCTTTACATAAACCCTACGGTTGGCAGTCCATGTAGTTTGAATCTTCCCTCGTTTCTTTAAATACCTAGCTCTCCTGGCCAGGTCTGCATTCATTTTTGAAAGGTGTTCATTAAGATAAACCTGTGTCCCTTTCAAATTCTTGCTTTGTCTGAGTAAATCAGTTTTCTTCCTCCTGCTGTAGATTGGTCACTTGTTTAGCTTTTTGATTCCTAGTTTGAATTGTATGACATGCTTCAATACTATTTCTGTCTATCTGAACGTTCCTGCTTTGTAGATACCCCACCACTTGGGCTTCCGCTCAATTGTCCAGTTCATTATCTTCCCCTTCTCTCGGTTCCCCTTTCACAACATGAGCATATGATGATTTAAGAGATAGTCCGGAGATTACAACTTCATTCATATGGGTGTGTTGTTCCATGCCCGACACCCGGGTCTCCAGAAGATTTATTCTGCTTTGTTGCTTCTCATTTATCTTTTTCAGTGCCTTAATTTCATCTACTAAACACATAATGGTGCACTGCTGTTTCGATATAGTCCCCAGCTGTTCACCCATCATTGTAAGTCATGGCAGCCTTCAGTTATTCAATGTCTTATTTTACTTCCTTGGTAACCATGATTATAGAAGAGCTTCAGAGCCTTGCAGATGGCAGTTTCAGAACTGATGAACAGTGGTACATCAAGGCCTACCTTGTTAGATGGTCATGGAGCCTGGGCCTGGCATTGAAGCCTCAGCCTGGGTTTGCCAGTGGCTTATGAAGAGGCCAAGGCTTGGTGAATAAGCTTTTTTCCCTAGGCTGGAGGCGCAGCGGACATTAGAGGCTGATGGTCCTAGAGATCTAGCATGCTTAGCTCACAGTGAAAATACTCAGAGTTGATTGAATTTACTGAAATAGCTCTTCAGAAATGGAAAACTCACAGTTTAACCAGCTTTTTGGAAAATCGTCCTGGTGGCAGTGGTGTCCCCAAGGGTTGGCCGGGGGTGGAGGCATGGCCACCCCTCAAAAGTTGTTGGCCACCCCTCTGGCCCCTCCCTGGCAAGACCCCCGACCCCACATTCATGTCCACACAAGCCATACATTCATCTTCTTTATTCAAGAAATAAATGTTAAAACCAATGAATTCCTCATTTTGATAAATAATACATTTGATAAACCACAATTTGAATATGTAAGATCACCATTTTCCAAAAATATTAATAATAATAAATGTATCTATCCACTAAAGTTAATAGATACATTTATTATTATTAATAAATGTATCTATCCACTAAAGTTAATAGATACATTTATTAATAATAATAAATGTATCTATTAACTTTAGTGGATATTTTTCTTGAGACAGCAATAGGCAAAAAAAAAAAACTGTTTTGGAATTTTAAACTACAAATTTTGAACAGTAACTGAAAAAAAAACTTGAAATTTTGTGTTTTTACTCAGATGTTTGTGTTTCTCAAATTTGACGTTAATGTATTTGATGCATAAATTGTAAAACCTGATATAAAAGAAAACATTTAAATAAAATACTATTTTTGTACTTTCTTAAAATATTTTTACAGTGTATTGATTTTTTTAAATAAAGAATGATGCAACATGCTAAACTCTCCCAGAGTTACCAGAGGGACCAATTAGCTGCCACCCCCAAATTTTCAATGGCCCCTCTGTGAACATTTTCCGGGGGCGCCACTGTCTTGGGGTATTGAGAGAGGCTGAAAACTTAAAAACTCTGAAGAACATGCAGTGGGATTATGAACATGGAGTGTGTCCAGGAGTATTTCTTTATTTCCCTCGTTTTGATCTGAGTTTTTAAATAATTATAAATGAGGATTGAAGGAGCTTCCTGAAGCACAGTTTTGATCCTCTGCTCTCGTCTCCTTACAGTGAAGTACCAGCCAGGTCTCTATGGAGGAAACAACTACAGCAGCTCTCCTCTCTCGAGCTCTGGAAATTCCCCCATCGTGTGCGAGCGCTGTCGGGAGGTTTGTCATGGGGAGGTGGTGCGTGTCAAGAACACACACTTCCATGTTCACTGCTTCACCTGCCAAGGTAAAAACAGAGCTCTGCTGTTATCATTCAGCTGCTTCTTTCTCATGCACAAACGTAAAATGTTTCACATCGGTTTGTTTTCCAGTCTCTGACCTATGCATGGCTTTCCATGTGTGGGTTACACCCAAATCAATTAGCATAATTAAATATTAAATTATTGCTGGTACTCAGACAAGAAGGAACCAACACAGAAGAGTCACTATTAGTTTCTGCGCTTGCTGAATAACGTTATGAACTATTTTCTGCATCCTTAAAGATTTGAAGCTGTCAAATCAGTGCATGTCACACTGCAAAGGTTGCTTTTTATTTAGCAAATAAATACTGATTTGATGTAAACTGACCAAAATAAAGGTTTATAAAATACCACTTGCACACCTTAGGAGACTACTTGTTTAAATATGGTTGATATCTTGTTTGAAAGTGTGTCCATTTGAAAAAAATTGTATTTTCATGCCAAAACCATAAATGCTTTATTGCACATAATATCTGTGGAGTATCCATCAATAATATTGCAATCAAAAATGTTTTCTAATATGTTTCTATGATGAATACATTCAGCATGTGGGTCTAATGATGGAAGATTTTAAGGAAAATTAATTTCAATAAATCTACTGTGAACTTTAGCATGAATGAATGCCTTGTGAGTCATTTTCAGTGGAAAACTAAACACACCTGTTTCAGGAAGAAGTTACCTGGAGGACAGGTGGACGAATTTGTGGCAGGATTTGAAATCGTACTCATCAATATTCATGATATTCAGACATCTCATCTCTGATTGGCTAATAGCAACGCGACTCATCCACTGACTCCATTTGCTCTCCACAAATAACACAAGCCTGAAGGGGTTCTGTCGTGTTGTGGAGTTGTCAACGCTAACAGTTAGCTGCTACTACCGAGAAGCACTCTGCTGATTCAACAACAGCGTTACCCGGTCGGTGACCAAGATGGATGAGTCCGTGAAGGCTAATTTTCAGTGTGACACAGATCTGAGTGGCTTTTTCTGACCCGAGCGTTTCCTCGTCTGTTTTCTTGTGATGCCAAATGCAGGAAGATCACTTTCACTTTCAGCCTGAAAGTGAAACTCAGAATGACTGACCATATTTCAAGAAGAACAAATAAAAAAGATTGTTTCTCAGTGAAATTGCTCTTTAAGAAAAAGAGAAGACTCTCTCCCTTTTGCTTCCCTTCTGCTCTGCAGTGCAGTGTGAGTTTGGCCACACTCACCTGTGTTTTCATGCATTCACATGGACATTATTGTCTTTTATGCATTTGTTGTCACGGTTGAGCTCGTTCTGAGAACAGATGGGACTGAATCCACTTAAGGAGGTCTGGACTCAGCAGCTACAGCTTTGCAGTGCAGTCAGCAGGTATTCAGCCTGTAGTTAAACTCCTAACAGCCAACCCTCTTTTTAGAGGCTGGGACCTTCACCGTCCCAAAGCAAGACAATGCTGTTCTCTCCATTTGATCGGCAGCTAGCATTGCCTCAGTGTGCTCAGCGACAAAGCTCCAAAGGGTTTCTATAGAAAGCACTAATCTTTGTGTTATGTAGCATTCCTCAGAAAGGAGTTTTTTTTGTGCAGAATTTTTGCTGTTTGTTGGATCGATTGTTGACTATAACTGGCTGATTGTTTGTTCAACTGATGCACTCGCCCTTTCTGACATGACAAACCAGACTTATTGATATGAAAGTCTTTATCCTTATGGACATTTGATCTTGCAGAGTAAGCTTAATGACAGCAGGCTAATGGACTGAGTGGGCATCAGCTGACGAAATGGACAAGACTTAAACTGTCAGCTTTTAGCAGACATCTCTGGTTGTTATCTTCTTTTCATCTACTCTGCTTCTTCTGTCTAAGCTTTTAGCTTTAAAGGTCTTTGCATCTTTGTTTTTGGTAAAACAAAATTATTAGTTATTAGTTTGGGATTTTTTTCAGTAAGGAGACAAATAACATGAGGCGGAACTTGTCTAATTTAATATCTTGAATAATTCATTAGCTGTCACCTGGAATTTGTGTGTGGTGGTGATGAAGGGAACCCAAATGCAGCCACTCGTCAGACACGGTGGATCCAATAAAATATATGTTCAAAACAACGTACAGCTTCACAAGCAGCCAGAGTGGAAGAGATGAAAGAGCAAAACTCAATCTGACAAAAATGTTGCGTTTGTAATCAGGCAGCGGAGGTGACCTCTCAGTTCAACACTTTATTTTAAGCCTTTCAGCGGTACGCCATCTTGTTATCTCCCTCTCTTCTTCTCCTTCTCCCTTCTCCCTTTTCCAGCCTCATTAGCGGCACCCCTGGTCTGACAGAGTAACAGCATGTAATAATTTGCCTCCTTTACTATACAGTAGAACTTCATAAACACAACAAACAACACACAAGAGAAACAGGATAGGATTTGGCAAAGAACAACCGGAAAACCTGGAAACTACAGAGGGAGGTGAACGAATGACAAAAGCAGCTGGAAAAACAAACAAAAGAAAAGCAAGAAAAGCAGAAACGAGTAAAGAAGAAGAAAGAAAGCAAAGCAAAAATACAGAATTCCCCAAATCCTTCACAAAAGAAACAAAGAAACAAATATTTTTGCATTTCCATAATGACAAAAGACCAAGTTCACAGATAAACCATGTCACTTGTTATTTTTTAAATATAATCACAGCCACTCTGAGTTTCTCATGCAGGCTCTTACGTGAAGATAGTCTTCTACCCATAATTCCTGCATTAGCCGCCAAAATAAAATTGACAATGAAACGATTGGATTACAAAAGCCACACAGGCCTACATCACACTGTAAATTAGCATTCACAGACTCACCCTGTAATGACTTTTGCAGCCAGTAGGGAGCAGAGTGTGGTTAATAGAAGGTAGGGCTGCTTAATTTAGGCAAAAATGATAATCACGATTATTTTGACAGAGACTGAGATCTCGATTATTTAAGATCATTTTAAAATGAATGTTGATTTTATTTATTTTATTTGCCCTTTTTTAGCGGTTCAGGAGCCTGCGAGTACAGTGTGTGTCGGTCACTCCGGCTTGTCCAAGAGGAACCCGACTCTGAAAGCGGTTTTGTTTGCGACCGACACGTCACTACATAATTTGCTTTTCTAATGTCCGGAAGGATGGTCTGGAGCACAGACTGAATGTTTTGTTAACCTGCAGGAAATATCAACAACAGTTAGTAGTCCAGAAAGTAGCTAAGGAGTACCAGAAATGTTTGTAGTTTTTTTGCTTGGTACTTTTAGGAAAAACAAAGTGACAGAAGGGGATCTGAAAAGTTGTTAGAAATGGCAGCAAAGTTGCTAAAAGTTGGCAACTCTGCTGGGAGGTGAGCTCAATTTGCAGCTCGGCGTAAACCATGAGGGAAGAGCACATAATAGGCTCATTTTGTTTTTATATCTTAGGTGTGTTCTTGCTGTGCATTATTTCAAATTCCATGTTGTCGTTCTTTTTTTAAAACACAGGAACGGTTTTGTTACCTGTAATTGATGCTACAGTTTCGCCGACGGCTGCTGGCTTCTTCAGGCTGACGCTGATGGTGGCGCGTCACTTCCTTCTCCGTTTATCTGCGGGCAGCAGAGGACGTTGTCGCCCTCTACTGCCCGCAGACTAGTGCACCCAAAAGACAAAATATCAGCTGGACAAAAATGTGGAGTCATTTACGAAATCCCATGCAAACTCTGCAATAAAACATACATAGGAGAAACCGGACGCCAACTCAACACACGAACAATAGAACACAGAAAGGAGTGCGAGAAAGAGGCAAGTCGAAAACATACAAGAGCAGCAAAAGAAGAAGCAGAAAGTACAATAAAAGTCAGCCGTAACAGATCATTGCTTAAGAGAAAACCATATAATGGACTGGGACAACACACGGATCATAACCACTGAACAACAAAAATACAAAGGATGGATCAAGGAAGCAATCGACATAAGGAGACGTGGATGTGGAGCCATGAACAGGGACGACGGAGTTTACACGCTGGACCACGCATGGGACTGCATCGTCGGAGAGGGGAGAGCGGGCAGTAGCGGGCGATAACGTCCTCTGCTGCCCGCAGATAAACGGAGAAGGAAGTGACGCGCCACCATCAGCGTCAGCCTGAAGAAGCCGGCAGCCATCGGCGAAACTGTAGCGTCATTTACAGGTAACAAAACCGTTTCTGTGTTTTAAAAAAAGAACGACAACATGGAATTTTGTGTTTATAATCGTTCAAAACTCAGCTGACAATTGTGATTAAAATTTGATTTAGTGAACAGCCCTAGTAGAAGCTAACCATTAGCATTAGCAACTCCAACATGGCAGAACTCAATGAGGCTTGTGTTACTTGTGGAGATTTAAACATTAACGTTTGCGGAAGAGTGGTGTTGCCATTAACCAATCAGAGGTGAGATGTTCGATTGTCATGAATAGTAATGAGTGAGATAGCAAATCCTGCTGTTTTCCACCCCCAACTCCTCCACCTTACTTCTTCTTCCTGAAACAGGAGCGGCAGAGATTATTATTCCACAGAGAATGACTTACAAGGCAGTCTTTTATACTCAAGATCACAGAAGATGTATTGAAAAACGAGATCATTGAAAATCATTGTTGTCCTTTAAATATTTCTTGTAACTAATGTATCTAACCATTGGTGTAAAGGATTTATGTAAAGTTAAACTGTTTGCCGTTAAATCAGACAGAAGTTACTCCTGCATGTCCAAACTCTCTCCCAATAAGAACTGTCCACCAATCAGACTTGTGAAGCCCAAAACACTTAGACGTGGATCAGGTGTTTCCTGAACCAATTTTGAACATTTTGGGCGTTTGCCCTGTTTTGATTATTGAAATCTCTGAGGTCCAACTGGATCAGCAATTATTTATGATAAAAAGAATAATAATAATATGATAAATCAAGATAACGCAGAGCTGCTCAAATCAAAGTAAATATGTATACCAGGATCAAAACTTTACATAAAACAATCAGATCATACGAAGAAACTATGATACGTTTATCGCAGT